CTTTCTGATTGGCTTATTTCACTCAGCATAATCCTCTCCAGGTCCCTCCTGAAGGGTAAGGTCCTGTTNCAGGTCCCTCCTGAAGGGTAAGGTCCTGTTCCAAAGGGTACGAGATCCACCTTTTTCACAGCTGCATAGTATTCCACGGCATAGATGTACCACCACTTTTTTATCCTCTTGTCTACGGATGGGCACTTGGGGCTGTTTCCAGATCTTAGCTGTTGTCAGTTGCGCTGCTGTGAACACGGAGGGGGTGTGTCTTCTTCATAGTTGGTGTTTTGGGTTCTCAGGATGGATTTTTGAAGGAGGAGCTTAGTGTTCTGTACCTAGTCCTACTTTAAGGTTCAAGCGTGGATAATAAATTTCAGGTGGAAGGTGGGTGTTCGTTTCTATCTTTCTTTGCAATGAGTTTTGCTGTCATGTCCCTTGGTTATCACAGAGCACCCCCCAAACCTGCACAATGATTACTCTCCCTAAAATCAGCAGAAAGGGGTCTGCCTTTGGACTCATGGACAATCAAAGAAGGAGATTAAGCCTTTGTCTCTCTTTAGGGGATCGAAGTTCCTTCCACGAAGATGCGGTGAGATAAAGCCTTAGGCTCCGCTCCTTCCTGAGACTATAGCCTCATGAGCATGTTTGACGGGAAGTTTAGGGCCTGAGCTATTATCTCACAGCCAAAAAAAAGAGCCGGGAGGCCCCGGGACTTGGCCCAGCTCACGCTCTTCATTTATGGGCCAAGAGCTAAAAGTGACTGAGAGCCCAGGGTTTATGCCACGAGAGAGTCAGAAAACCCGTTTTTAATGGACGGAAGCAGAGGAAAGTTTTCCAAAGAAAATGGGAGCTGATTTCATCGACCCAAAGATAACACACTTTTCTCTTCAGGAGCTTATCTCTTCGCCCAAGAGAAACAGGAGGACCCTCAGGTCTCCAAGATGACGCTCAGGTAAGGAGGTAACTAGGCCCCANTAACCATGGGTCAGAAACCACAACCCTAAGTCAACAGCAACATCACCACCCACACAACCTCCCAAGTCTTAGGGCCTCTCACCCAGGGAGTAAGGGTTGGGTCTCTGGGTGAATTCCTGTTTTTTGGGACTTCACCCCCTAGAATTGCAATGGGTTTGGGTGCGTTGAGGAGCCAGGGTAGCCGGACGTTGAGCACCGTGGGTGCCATTCAACAGCGATGGCCAACGTTGACTTGGAAAGAGAAATCCGTAGGCCTGTCTGGTTTTTTCGGGGAGATGGGCTTGGTGTCCCACAAACCCTGTGCCCTCAGAGGAGATGACAGGGGTGTGGGATGTGGCCCCTGAAACCATCCAGAAGAGGGTGTTTCCAGCTAAGTCCGAGCTTGTTCCTCAGGAGGCGCTGGGTGGCCCTGTATTGGGTGTGGTTACTCTTCCACGTGGGCCGGGCCCAAATGGAGGCCGATGACAAGCCGAATATTGTCCTGATAATGGCAGACGACCTTGGGATCGGAGACCTGGGCTGCTATGGCAACGACACCTTAAGGTACGTGGTCCTTCAGCCGGGATGGTGGATGCACCTGCTGACCGCTGCTTCACCCAAAACCCAATTTATTCTTTCTGAGAAAGAGGGAATATTAAACTCAGGGTTACGTGCATTTGGATCCGGATTCTGCGCTCACGGCTGCGACCCCTCGGGCAACTTGCCTCACCTCCTGCACCTTGATTTTCTGGCCTGTTGAGCGAATAGCACGTGCCTGTGAGTCCCCCGGGCAAAGCGCTCAGTCATCACCCGTCACGAGGGAGCCTTCTGAGACGGAGTGTTGATTTTTATATGTATTTTTAACGTTTTTATTGCCTTATCGAGGTGACACTGGTTAATAAAATTATGCAGGTTTCGGAGTACAATTCGTCAGTCCATCATCTGTACATTGTGTTGGGTCTTTACCATCCCAAGTCTCCTTCCATCACCACGAGCCCCCCTTTCTCCTCTTAGGTCCCCGCCTCCTGCCCTCTGGTGATCGCCACGCCGTGGTCTGCGCCTATGAGCTGCTGTTTTCTCTCTGCTGAACCCCTTCTCGCTGCTCACCCAGCCCCCCAAAGTCCCTGCCCTCGGACAGCCGCCCGTCTCTTCTCTGTGCCTCTGAGTCTGTTTCCGTTGAGTCTGTTTCTTAATTTCCTTCGTGAGGCTCCCGCCGTCCATGAAGTCGCTTCACCCTTGTCTTTCTCGGCCGGGCTGACCTCACTTGGTGGACGTCTCCTGGGCTGAGTCGATCGGGCCGCGCTTCCCAATTTGGGGAGCAGAGGCCTTGTTAGGGGATGGATGTCAACAGTGGGCTTTCGGAGACAAGAAAATCGAACGTGAGACCTGAGCTCAGAGTTTCCTGCTGGGTCATAAGATCCGTCTGCCTGGGCCGGGCCTCTCAAAGCTGACAGCACCTCCGAATAAGACGTGCGGCTTGGACACGGCTGGTCCCGCGCGATATCCCTGCTGGTTTTATAGCCAANCCCCGCGAGATCCCTGCTGGTTTTATAGCCAATCCCATGGCAGGTGTGTGACCTGAGTGCAGAGAAGCGACATTTATCCACCAAACGCTCGTCCTCAGGTCTCTGAGTGGCTGGGCCGAGCCATGGTTTCTACGCCAAAGACACGCAGAGATTGTTACCTTCAGATGTGTGTGCGTCTGCCTGTCTCCCTCTGTCTCTGTGTCTCTGTGTCTNGGATGGTGGATGCACCTGCTGACCGCTGCTTCACCCAAAACCCAATTTATTCTTTCTGAGAAAGAGGGAATATTAAACTCAGGGTTACGTGCATTTGGATCCGGATTCTGCGCTCACGGCTGCGACCCCTCGGGCAACTTGCCTCACCTCCTGCACCTTGATTTTCTGGCCTGTTGAGCGAATAGCACGTGCCTGTGAGTCCCCCGGGCAAAGCGCTCAGTCGTCACCTGTCACGAGGGAGCTTCTGTGAGGGACACTGTTCTGATGAGTGTTGATTTTTATATGTATTTTTAAAGTTTTTATTGCCCCTATTGAGGAGACACTGGTGCTCACAGCACCTCCCAACAAGACTTGCGGCTTGGACAGGACGGGTCCCGCGAGATCCCTGCTGGTTTTATAGCCAATCCCATGGCAGGTGTGTGACCTGAGTGCAGAGAAGGGACATTTATCCACCAAACGCTCGTCCTCAGGTCTCTGAGTGGCTGGGCCGAGCCATGGTTTCTACGCCAAAGACATGCAGAGATTGTTACCTTCAGATGTGTGTGTGTGCGTCTGCCTGTCTCCCTCTGTCTCTCTGTCTCTGTGTCCCTGTCTGTCTCTCTCAACCTCTCCCCCTCCCTCCTTCCCTTTCCTCTTTATGTCTCTGTGTGTGAGTGTCTATTGCCCTTGGCCTCTGTGTCTCTCTCTGTCTCCATGTCTCCATCTCTCATTCCCTCCCCTCCTTCTCTCTGTCTCTGTCTCTGTCTCTCTCTGTCTCTGTCTCTCTGTCTCTGTCTCTCTGTCTCCATGTCTCTGTCTCTCATTCCCTCCCCTCCTTCTCTCTGTCTCTGTCTCTCTCTGTCTCTGTCTCTCTGTCTCTGTCTCTCTGTCGCCATGTCTCTTTATCTCTCTGTCTCTGTCTCTCTCTCTCTCTCTGTCTCTGTCCATCTCTGTTTCTTTCCTCCCATCCCCCTTTCTCCAGTTTTCCCTCCGTCTCTCCTTCCAGGACCCCCAACATCGACAGCTTGGCTAGAGACGGCGTTCAGCTGACCCAGCACATCTCCGCGGCCTCCGTGTGCACCCCCAGCCGATCCGCGTTCCTCACGGGAAGGTACCCCATCCGGTCAGGTCTGTGAACTGGGACCCTGGGCCCCCCTCTGCTGCGTCATTAAGGTGGGAGCCACGGGCCCACACACCCCTGTTCTTGAGTGGACAGCTACTGATGCCAAAGTCCAAATCCCTGTGCCCCTGAGTGACCCCGATCACCTCAGGCGGCTGAGGGACGCCTTCACCTGGGCTCGGGGACAGTGTTTTGAGGATGCCCCGAGGCCCGGCATAGCCTTGACTCTGCCCCAGGACACAAATGAGACGTTGCCTTGCAAGGGGGTAACTTACAAAACCCGACGACCTTGAGGAGGTTCCGTGAGAACGTCCCAGACCATCCACGTTGAGCGGACAGATAGGACACAGGAGCTCATCTGCTCCATGAAGACCAACCATTGGGGTCGTTTCTCCCTTTCAACTGCT